AGCCTTTGGATGGTTGTTAAGTCTCTATTGATAGTTTAAACCGAATCGACTTTCATGAGGCTGTTAACAGAACATCCTAATAGAAATACGAAAAATGTCTAAGTAGACGACAACACTAAGGAAGCATTAGTCAAAGTGAATGAAAGGATTGCTAAGTCAACGACAATTGCTTACAATGTCATACATCAAGGTAACATTTGTCCCGACCGTTGCTGCTACCTCAAGGTCCTACCATGCCAAACAGGTCGGTTGAAGAGTGGCAAGATTAAAAACAGCAAACCCAAGGTCTGAGGTCGAAGTTGTACTGCTGACTGTACAGAGGTGTGACAGCAGTAAGGTGTTTCCTTCAGACATTTAACATAACAGCAATGCTGCCTTCCCATAAGAAGGGGTGGGGTTAGAAAACGTCAACCCTAAAATGCACACCTCGCATTATCACACGGATATCCGTCTCGAGCGGTAAGGTTCCAATAAGTACGGAGCTAACACGAAAATTACTCACAAAAAGGTCGTGTATGACCGACCTCAAGCAGTTGCCCCTTAGGCACCGTGGTCACGCTCTTACGTCACTAAAACCACATTTAATCCCATTCCCTATTCAGGTACCTCCAGAAGAACCGTCCCACGGTGTTGGCAACAGGGAAGTGATAACCGCCCTCATACCTCTAACAGCACTCCAGATCACTGCATTTATAATCAATCTCCCTGTTCAATTTCTATTATTCCTCCTACCGCGACTTTCAACTCTAAACTTGCTCTTTTGACTTCCTCCTCAAGTGTCACCATAGCCAACGATTCTAGTGCGCGAAACACTGTCTCAGGTCTACTGAAAACTCGCTCCAAATTACATACTGGAGCCTTGAACGTATGCACCCTGTGTTAAATCGGCCAGCAGGCCTCCTTGGTTAGGATCTAGAATCTTGTACCATCGACAGTGTGAATGGAACATTGAAGTAGGTCCCCCGACTCTACCTGAAGTTCAGAAAGCTATAGCTAATCTGAAACGAGAGAGAGCAGCTGGTGTAGATGGATTGGCACCAGAGGTTTTTAAGGATGGTGGTCCAATTTTAGCGACTAGGTTGACTAATACTTTCAGGCAGTCAGTCAGTAACAACGTAGAACTTCGTACGTATGTACATCAGTTCGAGTTGCCACACCACATTAGCACAGAGACGCAGTTATCGATTTAAATCCAACAGTGATAGAGACGGTAAGAGTATAAGCAGTAATCGGAGACATCAGGGTTTGAAGATGTTATTCACGGAGTATAATCCAGTGAAATAGATTTGGGAAGAAAAAAAAGAGACAAGGAGGATTCAGGAGATTAGAATTTTGGAGAACACAAAGAGTGGATGCACCTGCGCCATTGCAAACTATTTTGAGCCATGTCATTCAGGGTCTCTAACCATCGGCTGCTATCATTTCGCAGATCCCAACCAGGTAGTGTACACCTACCAACGTGACTCAGTCCACTTGTCAGTGACTTTATGGATTTGCGCCATGTTTTGGTCTGACCGCTCCTAGCTTTCTTCCAATCTACCCCCACACCATAAAATATCGCACGTCGAGGCAGTTGGTGGTTGGGTATACGTAACACATGTCCCAGACATCTCAAATGATGAAGTTTCACTATTGCATCAATTGATTTGCCATCCTTACCTAGTACCCGTTTCCTAACAACTGCGTTACTTACTCGATGGTCCCAGGATATACGAACAATGTTTTGAAGACACCTATGATCAAATACTAGTAACCTACGAATATCATTTACTCTTACCGGCCATGTTTCACTGCCATAAAGTAGGACGGAACGAACTAATGCTTTAGCTAAAATCTGGCGGTTGGATATAATCCCATCTGGCTGGTCACAATCACTGATTGTCCCAATATATAAAAACGGGTCAAAATCACCCTGTAATAACCATAAGTTCAATATAGAATCTAAAATACTACCCTCAATAATGTTCGGATGCCTAACAAAGACTCGTGAACTGCAAACACGAGAAAATCAGACTGGCTTCAGACCTGGTCGTGGCTGCATCGACCACATATTCACCATTCGTCAGGTTCTAGAACACAGGCATACTTATCGGCATCCGACAATGGTGGTCTTTCTTGACTTAAAAGCAGCATTTGACTCTGTAGACCGCGAGATTCTGTGTCAGTGTCTGTCATTAAAAGGCGTACCTCAAAAGAACATAAACCCTGTGAAGGCTCTTTACTCGAACACTACTAGTCGAGTCAGAGCTTATGGCGAACTGTCATCTGCTTTTGCAACCTCAAGTGGTGTCCGTCAAGGTTGCCCACTTTCTCCATTTCTGTCTAACTTTATCATAGACTTACTGATGGAAATAACATTCTCGTGTACTGAATTCTCGGGTATTGATCTTCTTCCAGGAGATCCACTTATCGACTTAGAATACGCAGATGATATAGTCCTGTTTGGTGAAGACGCTGATAAAATGCAGAGTCTTTCAGTAGCACTGAGCGACAATGCAGGAACGTTTGGGATGCTTTCCCCCTCTAGACCCAAATTATTGCTTCAGGACTGGCCTGTGTCAACACCTAAACTAAGGATAGGGAGTGAAGTAGTCGAACGCGTTGACAACTTCACTTATGTTGGAAGTCTGATCAACCCTAATAGGTTGGTGTCTGACGAAATCTCTGCACGGACTCGAAAAGCTCGTTTGGGTTTTGCCAACTTCCGTCACCTATGGAGAAGGCGAGATATCTGTCTATCAATTAAGGGACGAGTAAACTGCGTGGCAATTCGTTCCGTTCCACTTTACGAATGCGAAACATGGCCATTAAGAGTAAAAGATACTCGTAAGTTACTGGTATGGCATTCAACTGATAAGATTATTCATGTGTATCAATAAATGGAGAAAAGGAATAAGTGAAAACGAATAAAAATTGAAGCTCAGTGTAAAATTTGATGACAAAATTATAAGCAGACAGATATCACCAGCAATAATACGTATATATAAGGACAATGATTCACAACAATCTACGACATGCACATTTCTTGTATGACTAACTTTATTTTTCGACGCACGCTTTACATAGAAATAAGTAAAGTAAAGGAATTATAATGAAAGTTTAAAAAAGATCTAGTGGAAAATTTATACAAAACTAAGTAAATGTATAAAGAAACCCGTCCTCACTTTAAACTAGCATGGCAACTGAGGGTGTTGATAACCGAGAAAAAGTAAGCGAATGTTTTATTCCGATTCGGAGCTATTCATAAGTAAACATTTAAAGATTTTCAAAACATTTACATCCTGTGTTGAGCAAGTTGCAATTAAATTGTTGATTACTAAGTAGGATGCTCCCAAATACCCTGGTACGGCCGAGAGTGGGAAGAGTCAGCTGTCCCTCTCTAAACGCTCTCACATTGCCACGTGCACACAACCACTGCCAGGGAAGTCCTGTAGTGAACGAGAACGCAAGTGAGGACAATCCAATGTATTTGAATACAAAATTACGGAACATTTTGGTAAAATCTGAGAACCATACAGTAAATACTTCATTTGCAAAATGTCAACCAATCATCTAAGACTTTATCGTTCTTTCGTTACCACACCAATAATTCTTTGTTCCTTTTCTCTTTTCTTTGATCTTCTTAAACTTCTGCTCCGGGCATTTCACTTTTGACTGATGATACATCCTACTTATATCTGTCAACATTAGTAACAGACACCACAGTCCTACTCGGTGCCTTCTCGTCGCATTACTGTTGTTTACGAAATTGAATGTCCGGAGCTTTAGCCAGGTCGGTAGGTTGAAGCATCCTCCTAGGGGAGCTAGAAAACCCTGATTACAAACCAATGGAGCTCATGGGCTCCAGCATCCTAAGGAAACAAATGGCATGTGGATCTATTGTTGGTCACCGGCTACCATGGGACTGCATCTCCTGATGTTGCCCCACCCCCTTGTGGATTAGACCTTTAGGTCAAAAGCTCGTGGTGTGGCCCCCTAAAAAAAACCTGCTTCGGTTTAGGGACCCGAGTAACATTCCAGCCCTCACGCAAATCAAATGATTTATGTGACGCATAGCTATTTGGTGCCTTTTGTACCAATGTATGTGTTTAAATAATTATAAAAAAATAATAACAAGTCCTAACTGAAACTAGACGATAGAGGTTCAGTGAGAGATGAGATTGACCTTGTACAGTTACTATAGATATATACGAGGTACATTCACTGTGACGTTATAAATAGAGTAGACGTAGAAACAGAATCGTCATTAAAACCGCGCATCAACAAAATATATACGATTTGGACATTTACAGCTGAGTCATTGTTGAGTTAGAATTGCATTCAATAGACAGTAATAGGTAGTGTAGGACTGGTTCTAAATGTATATCGATCCAAGTTACCACAACTACATTAGACATAAAGAAATAAACGTAACAAGATGGACACAAGATCGAAAACAATTATAATTAAGGTTGAATCCAACTGTTCCACTGCAACTGATTCTGGGACATATTACCTGACGCCTTTTATTCATGGGTTACGATTAACTTACAGATTCCAAACTGAAACTTTGCACTAGCCGATGTTATTAAGTTCGAATGTTTAAGACTTAGTGGACTGAATTCACGCCTTTGTTTGGTGGCCTGTGGTTTTCTTTTAACCTACTCTTATGGAACTCAGCATTGAGTGCTGAGGTAGGGAGTGGGTGAGATACGCTTATCATGTATTTCTTCTACCTAGGTTGATGAGAGCTTGTGGCCTAGTTAGTCGAATGTCCGGCGCTTTAACCAGGTTGGTGGAGAGTTGGAAAATAACCCTGATTCCAAACCCATGATGAACATGGGCTCCAGTATCCTGAAGGAACAAATGGCGTATGAACCAATCGTTGGTCACTGGTTACCATGGGACTGAATCTCATTAAGATGCTCCACTGCCTTGTGGATGGAACTTTTAGGTCGAAGGCTCCGGGTGTGGCCCCATAAGAAAACCACCTACTTCAGTTTGGGCAGCCGGGCAGTGTCACAGCCCTCACACAAATCAAATGATTTGTGTGGCGCATATGTACTTGGTGCCTTCTTGTACCAGTATTTGTGTTCGAATAAATCAATAAATTAATCGATTTATCAATTCTCATAAAAAATCACAAAGACCCATTGATCAAATATTATTAATCGAGTACTGGCCTACGATGGCCCCTCAACTAAATTCAACGAGTCAAGTAGTTTATTAGAACTACCAACTTATCTCAACCTTTACTGTTTCATGCATACGCTATTGGAACTGTATTGATTTCGTTTTATCTCTGAACAGTAGTCAGAAAATAAGTCATGAGAAAAATGATATATGATACGATTAAAGTTTCTATTTGACTATATGTAGATCAGTGAGTTATATACTGAAGAGATCAGTCAATTCCCCAATTCCAATAAACGAGCAAAATTTGCCTTAATTGCTTATTTCGCGTGCATATCTGGAATTTAGAAATAGCATAAAGTAGTTTTGACTTAAAATATTAGTAAGGATTTGAGAATTGCAACTAAAATGTTTGATTAGCGAAGCAACTAGGTACTTTGCAAAATAGTAAGTCATGAAATAAAAAGCAAGGATCCAGAAAGAACTATCAAATACTATTCCGAAACCAAAGACACAACCCACTGAGGGCCTACCTTGTCTTCGAAGATGACAGGTGTGTTTGACTGTATTTGGTGACCAGCATGTTCCACTTTTCTCCAATTGATACGTATAACGTCTTGTTGGACGGCGCACTAAGTGAAAATTTTAAGCAATAGAATTATATAAGAATGCAGAATGATAATAAAAATAATGGTATTCGACAATTGTTAATGTTACTAAAACATATGAACACGGCAATCATGAATTAAATTATGAAGTTGTATCAGCCTAGCCGACTGAGATATATGGAGTACATAATCGACGGCAACCCACACTTATATTGGGTTTTGAAATAAAATCAATCAATTCATTTGATCGTTTTCAACTGTTTGAACTACCATATAGTCCGTATGATTAGTGCATGAGGAAATGAGATCTAAATGATATAGCCAAATAAAAACCAGTGTAAAGTTTGTATGTTATTTAGGTCACTAGCATCTTTTTTTCCAAATAACTTGAAAGACAGTTTGCTGTATCTGGTTTACTACTTTTGATCAGCCTCTAAGCTTAGTAACATTCTATGTATATTTTTAATTTTACTTGCTGATTTACCGACCGTTTAATTTTGAACTATGAAAACAAACCAACTCACGAAAGCCGCACGTATGAGGAAATGTTTAAATTCTAATATTTTGTAAAATAAGCGATTTTTGACTGTGACGTAAATCGATAACACTCAGTTATCTACTTATAGCTCGCCAATTTAGGGTGTAGTAAGCCATAGAACGAAGTAGACTTTAAAATGATGGTATGCAGGTGTCTATTATGTTAGAAATGGCGTAAAACCAGAAGGGCTATTCATCAGGATGTTTTAGTCATGCATACGAAACCATGACATGTATTGACAGGAAAATTGGTTTGTACGAATGCACAAATGTAACTATAATCACGTAGTACATGTTAGTAACACTAAACAGCAGTTGAAACATCATTATTTCAAGGAACGGAGCTGTATAGAAAAAGTAAATAGCTTTTACAACCTAAATCACTTTAATAATTGCATTACTTAGACTCCTTATTTTAACATTTTACAACAAACCTCAAAAACGAATTTTAAATACAGTTTACAAAGTCACATACTTGTAAGGCAATCAGACTTCCACCCAAAAGAAGAGCAGCAACCCTGCCGATTTTCGCGAATATATAACCTGCAAGTCTAGGGAAGTAATTTGAAAATTTTATTACGATCTTACAGTCCCGATCCTACACCTATAATAACCTGCTGGCGATGAGGACGGCTTTTGATGTCATCGAGTGTATCCTTCACTGCAGTTAAGGCGCGTTCGCCCTGACCCTCAGTTCTCGTCATAGTAGCGCAGAATGATGAACTGACCGCCATCAACCTCTGGTAATCAGGTTTCAACGCAGTGGCTCAGTCGACCTGTGCTGTTACTTGAGATATGTATAAGCGAAGTTTTTCATTCGCCATTTTTTGCTGATAAATCTGCTATTACATGTTTAGTGTCTTTTAGTCGTTTCAAAAAGGGCAGCGATTTTTGTACTTGTTGTGATTATACTTGCTTTTGGTACTTATTGCACTAAAAAGCACTCTTGGTCTACTTCAACTAAGAGTTCTTTGGTTAAAGTTTGAAATTTTTTACTAAATTTTGTCCTGAGTACCTGTTTTTAGTCCTTGACTAACACTTGTGTTCACATTGTTATCATCTTTTGTTTTTAAACCTTTTAAATCGAACTACAATGGTTGGTAAGACTCACAAATGTGGGCAACCAAATTGTTTGTTCTCCGTTGAGGAGGGAATGCAGTGTGACGACTGTAAAAAGTGGTATCACAAAATGTGTACACGACTAAGTCCGACGGCTTACAAAAGATGCTCGAAGCCTAACTCGCATTGGCATTGTATGTTCTGCTGTACGGATAGAAAGGTACTAATACAGGAGGCTATGGGCCTATTGGCTTTGGCCTGCAAGAATAACGATGGCGGAAGCACTGATAACAGGAGCACTGACGATGAAGAATGTGTCAGTGTAGTAAGTGCTGCTACTGGACCCATTAAACACCTGACTGCGGTTGACGGGAACGTGAAATCTCCGTTGACATTAACGAGAAATGAAGTGTCGCTTGATAATGACATCGGCAGTCATACACCTCTAGTCGAAATAGAAGATCCGGATAAAACTGTCACCGTTCCACATAGTCCAGGTGTGGCTGTTCTGAGTGGTGACAAATGGACTTCGGTAAGAAGAAAAAAAATAAGAAGAAAAAGGCTGTAGGCAAAACGCAGCTGGTCAGCAAAACATTGGAAGGGATGTTATCAGAAAAAAAGTCCCCACCGCGTGAAAAGACAGATCTCTCTGATAGATCAGTCATTTTTCATAAGATAAGAGAATCTTCAGATACTGAACCAAAGGCAAGATTTGAACATGATCTCAATCATATTAAGACATCATTAAGTAAACTACTCCCAGATACAGTTTCAGGAGTTAGTATTTGTAAGCTTTATAGAATAGGAAAAAAGGTGGATTCCGAAAGTCCTCCAAAAAACCGCCTCCTAAAGGTTACATTCAACACGGTGGAAGAAAGGAACCTGATTCTAAGTAATTCACGTAAACTGATTGGATCCGGAATATATGTCCGTGAGGACTTTTTTTTTTTTTTTTTTTCTCAGAGACGAGCTGCAGAAGCGGAAATAAATGAACGTCGCCAAAACGGGGAACGAAACCTCGTTCTTAAGGGTTTTCAAGTTATAAAAGTTCGGAGCAAAACGATCCCCAAGCCACTCTGGGTGGCAAGGGAAAGCTCTCCACAGACTTAAAAGTGTGCTACACAAATGCTCGCAGCCTACTAAATAAAATGGCGGAGCTGAAGTCAGTGGTGGATAAAGAAAAACCGGACGTTATCGCTGTCTCGGAAACTTGGTTAACGTCAGAAGTATTAGATAGTGAAATCCAATTGACTGGTTTCATAACCAGTAGGGCTGATAGATTAAACCGAAGGGGAGGCGGGGTTATTTGTACACCAAAAGTACCCTAACCATAAGATTAGCTGAGACAGTAGCACATGTTTCAGGGACATGTGAACTGGTGAGATGTAAGTTGAAATGCCGAAGGCAAGATATTGAAGTAGTTGTAGTTTATCGCAGTCCAGAATGTGTAGCAGATGATTTTCTCCTTAGTAAACTTAAGTCCTGGTGTAACAACGGTAAAAGCCTTGTAGTAGGCGACTTTAATGCACCATATATAAACTGGGTTAACTTAGAAGTAGGGTCATCCATATCGTCGTTCGACTCCAAACTGTTAGAAACCTCGATTGGACTAGCATTATTCCAACACATTAGAGATCCCACAAGATACGACTTAAGAAACTCTTCTCTTTTAGATTTAGTCTTCACACACGGTGATGACGTTGGTCAAACGGCTTTTCTCCCACCACTTGGGAGAAGTGACCATGCAGTCATCTTATTCAAATTCATGGCTGAGATTGCTTGTCAAACAATTGCGCCGGCCCGTCCTAACATATGGAAGGCAGATATGCAGGCAATTAACTCCGCAGCATCGGCTGAGAACTGGGAAATTGACTCAAAGGCATCAGTACAAGAGGCATGGACTCTATTCAGGCAGTTATACAATCGGGTAACTCAACCATACATACCCTGGACTGTCCCAAAGAAAAAGAAGCACGGACATCCCTGGATAGGGCGGGATATTCGACGCTTACTAAGACAAAAGAAGAAATGCTGGGATGTTGCCATCCGCCTTGGCACAGCGGGTACGATGGAACGCTACAGATCGATAAGAAACGAGTGTATAACTAAAATTCGGGAAGCGCAAAGAAAATATGAAATGCAGCTGGCAGAATCTGCACTCAAGCAGCCCAAGAGGATATTCTCGTACATAAACTACAGAACAAGGATTCATCATTGGATTCCCAACCTAATTAAAGTAGGAAGTGAATCTGAAATGATAGAGGAAGATCAGGAAAAAGCTGAGGTTATGGCTGACTACTTTGGGGCAGTTTTCACTCAGGAACCTCCTCTAGAGAAAGAACCAGACCCAATTACAGAGTCAACAAACCAGCTGCTCACCGTGGACTTCGACCAAAACGATGTGCTTAAGGCTCTTAGCACCCTAAACATGGAGAAGTCAACAGGACCAGATGAACTACACCCTAAAATCTTGAGACATATTGCCCAATATATCGCAGCCCCACTGACTGTGATATTCAAAATGTCACTTGACCAAGGTGTGTTACCTATGGACTGGAAGGACGCAATCGTCACTCCCATACATAAAACAGGACCAAGACAAGTTCCATCAAATTACAGACCCGTAAGCCTCACCAGTGTTGTAATTAAAATACTGGAAAGAATAATCAAACGGACCATAACAGCATTTATGGAAACCAATAACTTGCTGAACATGGCACAACATGGTTTTAGAAAGGGTCTATCCTGTACAACGAACCTCCTTATAGCTAGGGAGCTCTGGATTAATGCGCTAGACAACGGAAACTCAGTGGATGTTGTCTACATAGACTTCAGTAAGGCTTTTGACAAGGTGCCAACTAATAGGCTGCTATTGAAGTTGGCAAACCTTGGTATTGCCGGACCTCTTTTAAAATGGATTAAGGATTTCCTAGTAGGTCGTAGGCAAAAAGTAAGAATAAATTCCAAGTGCTCCATCTGGAGACCAGTACTTAGTGGAGTACCCCAAGGTTCCGTCTTAGGTCCTTTACTTTTTATAATGTACGTTAATGATCTTACAAGTATAGTACAGTCTCCAATGTTATTATACGCTGACGATGTAAAAATTTGGCGAGTAATAACTGGAGACAAAGACGCATTTACTCTTCAGGCGGACTTAAATAATATGATAAACTGGTCTAAAGAGTGGCTAATGCCTATCAACTCGGAAAAGTGTGTCTACATGCACTTGGGGGATTCAAAGGTTAATACGTACAACATAGGGGATGTGTCATTACCCGTAGTCCGGTCTCATAAGGACCTAGGGGTGACAGTGAGCAATGATCTTAAGACGACGGCCCATTGCCGGGAGGTCGCAGTTAAGGGGTTTCGAACCCTCTGGGCTTTAAAAAGGACATTCACTAAGCTTGATACTACCATGTTCACCACATTATACACATCCTTAGTGAGAACTAAGTTAGAGAACTGTGTTCAGGCTGCAAGCCCCTGTTTAAAGGTGACTCGGACATAATAGAAAAGGTACAGAGGGCAGCTACGCGTGCAATTCCGGAACTCCGGGTTTATCATATAAAGAGCGGCTTGAAAAACTGAACCTCTTTACTCTGTCCTATCGCAGACTAAGGGGAGATCTAATATTGATGTACAGAATACTGAGAAATGATTTCGGACCTAACTTATTCTCTCTCTTTCTTCCCACTAGATCGGGACACCTCAGAGGACATAGCAGGCGAGTAGAAAAGCCAAGAACGAACAAAATACCCGTGGCATACAGGTTTTCACACCGAGTCATCAATACTTGGAACCTGCTGCCTGAAGCAGTGGTGTCCGCACCTTCAATTGACTCTTTCAAGAGAAGACTGGACACTCACAGAAGCATACTAGAAAAGGAATAACATAGGCCGTAGGCCTTCCCTCCTTACTACACAAATCTGAATCTGAATCTCATTTGGTTGTTTCTGAACCCTTTTGCTGTGATCATGAAGATTATTAATGGTAGATGGAGCAGCTTAGGTTGATTGGTTAAGAGTTGACCTCAAACAACTAATCACGTCAAAACAGTATAGTTCAAGTATTCATTCACTTCCTTATTTTGTATAGGCTTTACATTTCCTATTATTTTATATTGAGCGTTAAGAAATTTTTTTGTCTGAACAGGTAATCACACGCTCCACTGTGACTGCGCGAAGATCTAAATAAAGACCTATTCACTACTAGTCTGGTTTCTCCTATCAATAGCACGAGGGTTACCTACAGGCACGAAAGATTAACACTTAAGCAGTGAGGCAATGAGGAGTTTTAATACAAATATCGTCGGACGTATCTTAATTGGCTGAACAAACTCTAAGATGTGGTCGTGCTTGATTTACGCAGTATCAGCTATTGTACAAGAGTAATCAAGGAACTACATTACTTCCCTATGTTCTATTAATATGCGAAAATAACCGCCTAGTGGAAGCACGGATTTTATGAGTGGTGAGAGATCTAACGATCAACGTTTTACATAAACTCCTAACCTTTCGATCCTCATTCTTGAATGGTTCACTATTAGCCCACTAAGACCATTCGGAGGCATCAGTTTTATATTTATAGTGTAAGGAAGTAATAGATGAATTTGAAGATTAATCTGTAGTTGCTAAAAACGTTAATAAGTCTACAGAGCTCAAATAAGGTGGCTGCTAAGCTACAGACCTGGGCATTTAATCCAATTATTCCC